AAGTAGGTTTCTCTGTAAGGACCCCAGTTCCAGCCAGTCAAGAAGCCCTATGGAGACTCTGTATATGGATTTGAAGATGGGTCAGAGAGGGGAGCTGGAACTTCATTAAGCAGGAAGGGTCCCTTTGGTGAGGGGAGAAGCAGATGATCACAATGGCCTCTTTGGGTCTTAAAACTCTGCGGATCTATAAACCCATGAGACGGGCTCCATTTAGCCAGAAGGGAACCAGATTGGCTGGTCATTAAAATTAAGTTTTCTAGTGAATTATTTTCCTGCAGGGCCCTGTCCACTTTCAGTGCCCAGGATGGATAAGTCGGGGTTATGCAGCATCAGGCTGTTGCCTGTATGACCCCTGCCTCATTCACTTTAGAAACTGGAAGGCCAGAAGAGAACAAGCAGGGGAGCGTAGGAAGAACTAGGATGATCTTCTTAAGAGCAGTGACTGTCATTCAGTAGAGCTCAGTTCTGTTCCTGCCTCTGCTACAGACTTCACAGGTGATGCTGAGCAGGTCTCTAAGCCAATTTTTATGGGGTCTGATTTGCCGAAGTACTGAGCACTCACAACTGCTGCTAGGGTCAAGACAAAATGTGGATGCTCAGCTCTTCTGCAGTCAGGCAGTGGGATCGGGTGGAACGAGCACGAGGGCTGCGAGTCAAAACACTTTGTTTTATCCTGTCTCCGCTGCTGAGTCACTGGGTGGTCTTGGGCAAGTCACTTTGCTTATCTCTCTCAGTTTCACCATTTGTAAAATGGAGCTAATAATAATACTTAGCCACCTGCTTCCCTGGATTTTGGAGAGGTTTATTAATGTCTGGACATACTTTGAAGACACAAAACTCTGTAGAAATAGTGAGTACTCTGAAGAATCAGGCCCTGGGTCTCAGGTTGCTGCCCAATCACCCCAAAGTTGGAATTTTGGCTTTAATCATTGTATGTAAAATTTTCAAAAGCAGCTAACTGATGTAGGAATCTAAGTGCCACTTTCAGAAGTGACTTAGGCAGAAAGAGGGAGAAGTCTGCATGGTTCTTGGGCTCCTACGTTACT